TGGGCTGCGCCATCTCATGTGCCTATTTTGAAAGATTTAGCACCTTTCTGGAATGGGTGGTTCGGAAGGAATCGGCCAGGGGTGCAGTGGTGCACTACCTTGTCGATTTCTTATGCGTAGGCCCGCCGGGAACAAAGCGCTGCAGCCAGATACTGCAGGTCTTTCAGTGGGTGGCACACAAGTCCGGGGTGCCGCTGGCGGAGGACAAAACGGTAGGGCCCACTACGTGCCTCAGTTTTTCAGGGTTGGAAATTGACTCGCTACTGGGGGAATGCAGATTGCCCTTGGACAAGCTGCAGGCCCTTCGGCAACTGGTAGACACGGTTAGGAGGGCAAAAAAGATAACCTTGCGAGAGTTACAATCATTGGTGGGGAGTCTTAATTTTGCATGCCGGGTAATTCCCATGGGGAGGGTTTTTTGCAGGCAATTGGCAAAGGCAACGAGCGGGGTGAAACAACTGTTGCATTTTATTAGAGTGTCAGTGGAGATGAAAGTGGACCTGGGGGTTTGGGCAAGGTTTTTGCAGGATTTTAATGGTAGAGTGTTTTTTCGGGAGCCAGTGGGGTCATTGGAGAACGTGCATCGCCTTCCATGGTGGATAAGCACCTATCAGCTTTGGCGTTCCTATTCAAGTTTAATGGGTGGGACGACGTGACGAAGCATTTTATGGTGAGGCAAGTGGTTCAGGGTTTCAGGAGGGGTAAGAAGGTAAGAGATACGTGGAGACCAGTTTCATTCACGGTTCTGCAAGGGTTGGTGGGCAAGTTGCCAGAGATATGTTTTTCCACATTCAAAGTGGCACTGTTTATGGTAGCGTTTACGTGGGCCTTTTTCGGGGCTTTTCGGATAGGGAAATTGGTCAGCGCCAACAAAAACGGGATTGGCGGGTTGAGGTTTGAAGACGTGATGGTTAGTAAAGACAGGGTTACGATAAGGCTGGAGCGCTCAAAGACTAATGTCTTCGGGAAGGGTTGCTCGGGGACATTGTTCGCAAGTGGGGCCAGGTATTTGGAACACCGGCCAGAGGCCAAAGGAGATTTTTTTCTTACACCCCGACGGCACAACGCTGTCGCGCTTTCAGTTTGTGAGGGTGTTGCGGTTAATTTTACAAAAGTTGAGGCTGGAGCCCATGCAGTTTGGGACACATTCATTCCGTATAGGTGCAGCGACTGAAGCCGCACGCCTGGGCTTAGGGGAGGAGCAAATCAAGCGGATCGGGAATAGGGAATCGATACGGTTCTGATCGTATGTGCGGCCAGACAGGCTGGTGTAAGTTGGCGGAAGACGGGGGGCAGTGGCCCAGGGGAATTGATCTGTATTATAACTGTTTGTTCTCTTTTAGGTTGGACGGTGTGGATAATCGGCCGTTCGTATATTTATTGGGCGCAGAAGAGGGCCGCAGTTAGAAGAAACAGAACACAGCTGGGCTTTCCTATGGAACGGGTGGCGTTATCCTGGTTTGGCTATCGGGGGTTCAATTGGCAGCGCATAAGTATAGAATTGTTTCAGAAGGTGGCGAGGGGGACGTTACCGGATGTAGTAGTAGTTCACAGTGGGGGGAACGACTTAGGGTTGTCCCCAACGCGAGCTGGTTAGACGAATGAAATGGGACGTGGATCGACTGCGGGGGCTTGTCCCTGGTGTGAGAGTAGTATGGTCGGAGATAGTGCCTAGGTTGAGTTGGAGACACGCCAGGGACCCAGCTGCAGTAAGTCGATGTAGGCGTAAGGTAAACAAAACTATGTAGGTGTTCATCTGCAGGTTAGGAGGGGTAGTGGTACGAAACCGAGAATTGGAAGAAAAGTTGCCTGGGTACTTTAGAGCAGATGGTGTTCACATTTCGGATGTAGGTTGTGACCTCCTTAACCTAGGTTTTCAGGAGGGTATAGCGCAAGCCCTATTTAGGTGTGGTGGGGGTCGCACATATCCTTAAGGGGTCAAGGCATGTGATGTGGCGGAAAATGTCTTGGTTAAACAGGAATTTTGGGGAATTAAGAAATTGTTAGGCCAAGGTCTAGGCTGGAGTAGGCCGGGGTTAAATTGTTTGGTAAGTTCGAGCCCATCGGTGGCTACTAACCAAGGGGTGTAGGGGTGTCTGGGTACACCCTTGCAGTTAGACAAATGCATGTGGGGCCTCTTCGGTAGGCCGGGAGTTATGTTATGTATTATTGGTTATGGTGAAGTCTAGGTCAAGGGGTTGGTTTAGGCTAATGTAAGGGGAGGGGGGTAAGGGAGGTTAAATAGCGGCCATTTTAGTAAGTGGCCATTTTAACTTGAGCCTTACTTACCTGTGAATTGTCCCTCCCACCTACCCTAGGAGTAGGAAGTAGTTCCCGTTTGGTCACAGCGGGGTGAAAAGGTCTTGGTTAAACAGGAATTTTGGGGGATTAAGAAATTGGTAGGCCAAGGTCTAGGCTAGAGTAGGCTGGAGTTAAAGTGTTTGGTAGGTTCGAGCCCATCGGTGGCTACAAACCAAGTGGTGTAGGGGTGTCTGGGTACACCCCTGCAGTTAGACAAATGCATGTGGGGCCTCTTCGGTAGGCCGGGAGTTATGTTATGTATTATTGGTTATGTTAAAGACTCTTCTTTGGTAGGGTCATTGTCGGGGGTATGGTACAGGAGAGAGCAGAAAGAAATTAGTACTGTTGACTATGACCCTAAATTGTTATTTTATATATTTATAATACTTTAATAAAGCTGTGGACTTTGTACTCCAACAGAACTAATTGTGTCTGAGAGTTATTCAAGTTAAAGGTTAGCACATGCTGAATAACGACTGTGCAAATGTCAAGTAAATCTGAATGCACGGAGTGGATAAAGTAATATTAAGAATTGCATTTCCACTTTTCTTTACAGTTGCAGTGTTTGTTAAAAGGCTGAATATTGTATGGTTTTTAAACACACAAAAACATGGCTGTAAAACTAATGAGACTTAGCCCGTAAAATTTCAAATTGGCATGCTTTTAGTGGCAAATAAATTAAATTAAATGGATCAGTTTACCAACATGTACTTCTTCATATGGTTTCCTACTCAGGATAACTGTGCCTATTTAATTTATTTCTATACTGATAATATCCTCTTCTGGTGCTAAAACTGTTTTTGCAAAAATTTTATTTCCTGACATTTCTCAAAACATCTTCTACAGAATGCATCATGTTATTTTGTGTTGTTAAGTCACTCAAGTATTTGGGAAACTTTGTATATCAGTGTATATCAGAACTGCAAAGAAACATCTGAGGCCTTTACTAAACCACAACTAGATCTCTTGACACACACATACAGTAACAGATGGCCAGACAAACACACAACACACACAACTCACTGTCAGACACAGAAATGCTCAAATCCACACTGTCAGACACACACACAAATATATACTCACAAATATAGATAATTACTGCCACACACCCATACAGACCAACACAGACAAATACTACCACAAGCATGGACTCTTACATAAATATAGATGTTAGTTTGTTGCCCACCTTGGGGTTGTCTAAATTTCTGTTGTACTTTTCATGGGGTCTAGTGGGGGTTATATCAGTGTGAAGACTCCTTTCCACCTATACAACATCGGATGGAAATAAGACATCATATCACCCTCTTCTTACCGTTCTGTCTGGACACATATTATCAACATCTGCTCGTGACTTTTGTTTCTTCTGCCATCTCTGTCTTCCTATCAAATATCAACACACAACTCAGATCACTGTCGATCATATTCAGTCCACCAGTCTCTCACGAGTCACTTGTCCAGTCAATATTCTTGCAGTCACACAAACAACGTTCAATAATAAAATTAATGTAGCATATGTTTAATGATTTTATTAGTATTGTGTTAGCCAGTTAACGAAAGAAGAATAAAATGTTTTGTACAAATCTTTTTTTATTTTTTATTATTTGTGCATGGGTTATACAAGCAAGTTTGCCTTGCCACAGCAGCTGAGACATACATATCAGTTTATGTAGATGAACATCTTTGTGGCATTGAAAACACAGCACATTTTTATATTATTAATCAAGCAGAAACAAGAAATGGTGTAGTACTTATGATAGATAACATTAGCTTATTGGGTAAGTAAATTGCGTGTACTAACGTACCTTGTGAGGGATAAACAGGCTAGGAAAGCTTGAGTAACTATAGGAAATTATCTAGTCTACCCATGCATGTTCAAACAGCGGTTATGCTTAAGACTTAAAGGACCACTATAGTGCCAGGAAAACATACTATAGTGCCCTGAGGGTGCCCCCACCCTCAGGGTCCCCCTTCCGCCGGGCTCTGGGGAGAGAAAGTGGTTAAAATCTTACCTTTCTCCAGCGCTAGGCGGGGAGCTCTCCTCCATAGCGAAGTCATCAGCTGAATGCGCATGGGCGGCAGGAGCCACGCGCGCAATCAGCCAGTTCATAGGAAAGCATTTACAATGCTTTCCTATGGACGCTGGCGTCTGCTCACTGTGATTTTCACAGGCCCTAGAGGCTGTATTAACCCTATTATAAACATAGCAGTTTCTCTGAAACTGCTATGTTTTTTTTTTTTAAAAAAAAGGGTTAATCCTAGCTGGACCAGGCACCCAGACAACTTCATTAAGCTGAAGTGGTCTGGATGCCTATAATGGTCTTTTAAGGCACATTGCATAGAGTTTTAGTATGAGAGTGTACATTAGTAGTAGTACGCAGGGGAGTTTAGGGTGTGTTAGGCTTCTCATCTATGTTTGTAGCAAAGCAAAATGTGAAAGAAACAGGCTATTAGTAGAGTAGGCAATCATGCTAAAGAGTGCTGCTTTAAAGTAGATTGTGTCATAGATTGTTGCTGGCCTGTCAGCATTATCCCCCTAAGAGCCCCCCCGGAAAGGTAGGAAAAGGCATTAATAATCGAGACTGCAGGTATAATAATAAGAATAGGGAAAATAATAGGAAACAATTAGAACTTATGAGTAAAAATAGTAATTGGTCATTAGTCCCAGAGAGTTCCACTATTCAGCTCAGCTCAGTCTATACCCTCGAGGGACAGAGCACAGTCCAGCATTATGGAGTGATGTCTTGGGCTTCCAGGCTTCAGAGTGGGCCATATGACAAAGCCACTCACCGGGGTCGAGGTCAACACCACTACCTCTGGTGCGTCGAATGGCTCAAGGTTAGGCAATGCCCGCTCACATGGCGCCCATGGCTGGTGCGATATACTCTGCTTTACTCGCCACCATTTTGGGTCCTTCCTCATAGCTAGAGCCACAGACTGCTGTTGCAGGATTGGAATTCGCCCGGGAGGTGAGCATCTTGTCGGCTGCTGTGGGGCCTCTTGGTGCATCCTTTGCTCTAGCTTCATCCAGAAGTTTTGGAATATAATATCCAACCTTGTCTCGAGATATAGCTTTTCTTCAGGTAAGTCAGGAGGCCGCATGGCATTCGCCATTTCTGGTTTCTCGATCATGTTTCCATCTGCCCTCGTGTCTTCACCTCGAGTGCCTGTAAGGGCAGGGTAGCCACCCTGGGGTGGGCTGGGATCACCCGAGCCGGTCCAGGCTGGGAGATCGGCCATGTCTCCGCCCGACGCACTCCAGGCCGCATGCTTCGGACTGTGCTTTAATCTTGCCCCCAGTACCTGCAGGGTATATCAGCTAGTGCAATCTGCATGTAGGCTGCTGGGTTTGATGTGTATCGAGTCGTGTGAAGCTGCAAATTGCTTAAATTGCCAGTACAGGAGAGGAGCTCGCTGAAAACACGTCTCTCCACCATGACAGTCAGGCCCCGCCCCCTTGTACAATATTTTTGTACTACTAGTATGGCATAACTTAAATACCTATTTAGTCCAAAGAGTCATACGTTTATCTTGAAGTCCTTGAGTTACCATCTGGTCTTCAATAGATACTGTTGAATTAGTTTTACATCATAAACAACATGGAAACCTCTTGATTGTCTACCAAAGCTTAAAATAATGGCGGGTCTCAGTGATCACTTTTGGGGGTCAATCTACTATAATGGCCAGATTTTCTTTCAATTGTTACCGAAAATCTAAATTAAAAAGTGGTTTTTTTTTTATTCCATTAATAAAAATTACATTTATGTTACAACATAAAAAAAAAAATATTTGTTAAAACAGAATTGCTATGTGTTGCCGTATGGTTACTACTATGTAACCATTGTTTTGTTTGGTGAATATAGTCTCTGTCCTCCAATACTTAAAATACAATCAAACACCAGGGGCCGAGCTCGTGTTTCCTTCAGATGCATCAATAATCTTGCCAATCATATTGAGTTTGGATGCAAGGTCACCTGGGAAAGCAGCAAAGATGAAAAGTTGCATGTACTCTAACAAAAAATAAGAACTTCACATTGAAAATTCTTATTTGTCTGAAGGCTGAATACTGTTAAGGCTACATGACTGTTTAAAATGCTGCCTAGCAAGTTTTTGAGTACAGTCTTCTTTCAAGTCCCCGGTTTCTCTGCTGTGCAGTCTTCAAATTTTGACATGCAACAGAGTAAACCTATTCCCTGTCCAGAATTTGGAACACTGGCTTAGCTTCTGACCTGACATCCATTTCAAGTATATAGAATGTGATTTAGATCATCTGGCACGAGAAGAGAAGTGAGGGAATGAGCTGGGATTCTGGAATCCTTATCTATAATGAAATTCTCCAGAACTATATTACATGGTCCGGTTATTAGGACCCATATTACAATTTGTAATTTGGGGGAATTGGTGTCTATAGATCTTTGTTCCATGGCAACCTAATACCTTATAGACCAATAGGCCAAGAATAAATATATTTTTATAATTTAAAATTTTATAAATACACAATGGAAATACTAAACACAGAATATTTAGTTTCAGGAATAAACAGCAAAAACACATATATACTATCAACTTTATTTATAGATTTTTAATAACATCAGCCAGCAACTGTTGGAGAGTCGTTCGATGCATACCATCATGACATTCCCTATGACATTTCAAAAATAATGGAATACTTTTTGTCCCATGGTTTTCAGAGACACCGATACATTTTATTATTTTCTTTTTTTTTTTTATTGAAGGTAATTATTTCTAAATATTTTTAATTAAAAAAAATTAGAAAAATGCAATATGTTCTGGAATGTTTAGTGTCCTGTTGTGTCTATACACATATTTGCACACGGGCTGTTGTTTAAAAATGAGTCATGGTTTGTGCTCCTGACTTTTAGCTGCAGTTATTTTTATCCATATATAGAAAGGATCATGCAGGTAGCTGAGATTAGCAGTAGAAAGCTTGCACCACCAACATCTAAACATTCAAGATGGGGCAAGCTCCAAATTGCATGCTGGGTTATTCACTGATGTGAAAATTGATAGGAATTCAAAGTGAATAGGAATTCAAAGTGAATTTTAAAAAGTATCAATTCTGTTTTCAGCTAGGCTATTTTAGACTACAATTTGAAATTCACTTTAAGAACTCAGTATCAACACCTGTATAGGGTATACCTCTTGTAAATGTTAGAAAGAAGGGCACGTTCACAGATAATTGACAAAGGTGCTCAACCATGTAGACCCCATTAACATTAGAGCCAATAACATACATAGAAAAGTTTTAACACAGGAGCACATAATTAGATTGAAATACAATCTTTATTATGAGAATCACTCTAAGAACCATCAATCAATTATGCATATATTATTGGATGAGACCATATTCCAAAATACAAAGTGCTATTTAAAAAGGTGATATTCTACAAACATTTTCATTTCGTTTAAAGGGAACCACAAAGCAAATGACATTTCAATAAACCATAAATAGTGTAATAGAATAATAAAATGACATAGAAGTCCAATACAATGATGAATGTGAGAGGAGAGTGTAAAAATATACTAAATAAAAGCCACTAAACTTTCGGCACTAAGCTTTTTCCACACAAAAAAAGATTGTGTTTTTAATAAATATTGTGTGCTCTTGTGTTAGCACTTTTCTGAGAGATATACCACTTATCATGCACTGCTCATAAATGCCCATGTTATCAATGTCTTAGCTGATTAAACATGCCTCAGCTTCACATGCTCTCACATTTTCAGAGACTAACTCAATATTCACCTGCCTCGGCCAACTCACTGAGTATCAAGGAAAGATTACAATTCTGTTAGATGTGAAGACTTAGGGTAGATACCTGCAACACCAAAGTACACATGACTGGAACACTGTTGCCAAGAGAGAGCTATGTCTAAAGAGAAGTCCATAAGTACTTTTGATTTATTTTTGCTGAGTAGTCAAACTAAAACAGGGAAAGCATATATGTAATTGGTGAATTAAATATTTTTTAATCGATTTAATACATATTTAACATCCTGGGAATTTACTTGGGATTACCTATGAATCTTTGAACACAAATCTATAGTTGCAATCTACTCTTGTTCGAACTACATATCATCCATAATGAATGTTGGTGCTTTTTTTAATCTACAAGCATGTTGGAATTATATTCACTTCTAAATTTTTCCCGAGACTTGGAACGTCCTACCATAGCATTACCTCCTTACTTTTCACTTTTTTTTTAGTTGTCTGAACAATCTCAATTCACTGTTCTGGTTTCATTCCCATTCAGAGCATGAAAATAAAAGCTGCCATGCTTTATCTCATTTTTCCTCTTCCTTCTTATAATCAATTAATCAAAATTTATTATTTTTGTTTGATTTGACATATGTGTGTGTCGAGGTAGACATTGTAGTTTTATTAGTCCAGTGGTGAAGATGTAAAATAACAGATGAAATTATAATTTTGTAATACCTTTTTTAATGGACTAAGAATTCAGGTAAGGTAAGCTTTTGGGGGATGTGCCCTTACTCAAGTCTTAAGAAATGCTTAGAAAAAGCCTAGAAAAAAATGATTGTCATTCCAAAGTTTTCAAAAAATTGTCTTTCTAGTTTGGTAAATAAAGGCATTACAAGATACAAATTTCATCTGTAATTTTACATCTAGACAGAAAATGTAATATACCCATTTTAACTTCAACCTTGATGCCCAGTCGCTAGAAAAGGCCCCATCACATAGGAAGCCCCAAACCATAGGTATTGGTTGGGGGAATTTTAAATAAGAAATGGGAGGGGGGGTGGAAAGATTTTTGTCCACCCCCTGTCCCCAATGGTGGATTGAAATATAAAGAGGAAAATTATTATTTCCCTCCACCGGTGATCTATGGGTGCGGGCTTTTATAATATTAATGTTGTGTCCCCCCGGGCCTGTTTATTGATGGTGGTTGGGGACCTTAATATTAAGGAGAAGATCCAATTTCACCTACCTGGACCTCCATCATGTGCGATTAGTGGGGGTTCTAAATAATTAATGAAATAAGGGGGTGGCCATGCTATTGTCTTTCTCTCCAAATAATGGGGAAAGCAAGAGAATGATAATCTCTTGATAATGCATTTGATTGTTGTAGATTCACTTGAAGGAGACTGAATTTCAGCTGCATTTGGCTTTAGTAAAAATTAGAATTGTCAATGTGATTGGAATATGCCCTTCTTTACTGGAATTTTTCCACCTGGACAAAATCCAGTGTTAAGTGAATAACCCTGAAAGATTACTTCATTCACTTTCCTCATTTCAATGTAATGGGAGAGATTTATGAAAGTATTCTACTCTACAAAGTGGTGCAAAAATCAAAGAAGGGATGGAGTCACCATTGGCATGTTCTTACTTGCTCCACTGGTTTCCATGCTAATTGTAGCACATTTCGTATTTTACATCACTTTTTACACCACTTTGATAAATCTGTGACACCTAGATAACACTAGTATTGACAATTTGCAAATGCACCATTTGCCTGAACCAGCCTATAAAATTCCAGAGCATGCTTGGAACCAATTCTTGGTTATTCTTGATTGCATGATTACCTTCTGCATTCTGGATCTGCTCTCTTTGGACCTCCTCATCTACCTGCCCTTCTTAATTCTGCACTTGTTTGTTTAGATAAACAACCTTTGTTTTGCCTTAAGAACTCTTTTTGCCTTCCCTGCTCAATGGGAATAGACCTTTGATATGATCTTTCCATGCTCCTTTCATATATGTGAGGCCCCATGCTACCACAGACTACCTTGGAGATAGTATCTATGTCCATGACTTCCTTTGAAGTGATGTTTTGCAAGGCCATTTTGTAGTCCTACAGCTGTGCTTTTAGTCCACAACCAAAGGTGCCTAGGCCCTAAGACTGTAATGGCATTAAGGAAAGGGAGATTTCCTAGATATTATAATAATCTCTTTCCAAAACTAAAGAATAAGGTGTGGAAGAAGTCCAGACATGGCTCAGAATACTAAGCACATCTCTCCACACAAGGTATGTGGAACAAGATGACGAATGGTGCAGTTTCCCATCATTAATAGAGATTCTGGGGGACATTGCTTCTTCAATGTGTGTGGGCAAAAGTGGACTACTGGTTTGCCCTTTGGTTTAATAGACAACACCTTACAGAGAACTGCATACTTTAAGATCATGGCTACTGATAGTATTAAAAAGGCACTCCAGCACGAATACATCTTCAATGCATTTGATAATGTTAGGCCTCATTAATATGCTGTATTTTTTGCATGTTCAAATCTTTATAGTTTTTGCACGAAAAACATAATTGTTTTGCAGAATTGTACACCATAAACCTAACCATGCACCATCATGCCAGAAAGACTTCCTTATCAAATTATGCACACAGTTTCCCCCCCTAACAACACTGAGAGAGCAGCTTTTAGATTAACAACCTGGCTGTAGACAGGCAGAGAAGCTATAAACAGATAGTGACAGCCTTACTGTATGATGATTGTAACGGATCGCCTGGCACCCCGACTGGGTACCTCCGTTGAAGGATGCTCCTAGCGCTTCCTGAAGACTCCAAGCACTGCAGCAGACACCACAACCACCGAACCGGAGAAGCATATGAATCCTCTCAAGCAAATGAATGCTGTAGACAGTTGAATAGGAACCATACGAATAGGTTTACTCTCCTAGCAGTCAAACTGGAACAGCATACAATAAATCCTTCCCCCAATAATGAGACGACACTTCGTTTTGAGGGTTAAGCAGAATCTCCAGTGCTGGCACACCCAGCCTGGTTTTTATTACAATCCACAAAACATAGTACAGCCCACAGGGCGTTACAAAACAACCAATCACATCACAGTTACATCCCACATATTCCCCTTCCCTTATCCTGAGAGGAAACTCAATTATACATACAGTTAAAACATACTTTCTACCCAACTTTCATAACTCCAAAACCATACATCACATTCACATAAAATTACATATTCACAATCAATCCATTCAGGGGAACAACATATTAAAAAATGGCACGAATCAGACCAGGGGTTCAAAAGTTAAGGGAAAGTCCTTTGTGACTAAATGAAGTATGGCTTTCTGGCCCAAACCAGTTTCAGAGTCTTCTATCCTGGAGAGTAATTCAATTATCTCCCAGGATAGACACAAGACTCCATTAAGCACATGGTTGCAAAAAGACACAAAACACTTTAAAATACATAAAGTCACATTTACACATAACACACAGACATTTCACATATCCCCAGATAGCTGGGATCCGAGTGCACATTATTAGATGAATGGCACTCAGATCACACAAATAAGCCTTTCTGCAGGGGAAATAAACGGTTTAACCTGCAGGGCCATAGTCCAAAGGGAGCAGGCGAGCAACCAGGCTTCTCCAGTTCACAGTGGCGAGGTTGATTTCGCCACACTTCTCCCCTTTACCAACTAGACTAACAGGGTATCTGACCTCCTGCCGGTCAGTGCCCTGGTTAGCCCAGCAACCCACCCACAAAACAGAAACAGCAGTACAGCCCACCCACAATAACTGGTTACTACACCTGGGTAGAGGAGAACTTTGTCCATGTCCAGGTGCCTCACCACGACTGTGTGGGCAACTGTTAGGCTGCCTTGGTGGGATGCTGAGTGGGCAGAGACCAGCGGTACTCTGCCCTGATGCCAGTGCTACCACGGAAGTAGCCTGGTGGGAGCCTGGTTGTGGGAGGGAGAGACCGACTGTCTCCCCTCTGGATACACCGCTCTGTGGCTGGGGAACAGGACCGACTGTCCCTACCCCTTGTGCTGTAAGTGCAGAGACTACAGTCCCATCTGCACTGTTGGGGGGTGTAACATCTCCCCTTGCTGGGTTAGGCTGCCGCTGGAGAGAGGGTGTAACAAGCTCCTCTCTCTGAACTGTAAACTGCCGCTGGGGAGAGGGGTATCAGGCTCCTCTCCCTGACACTCTCTCTGCTGGTGGAGAGGGGGACCAGCTGTCTCCCCTTTCATTATTTTGTCCTGTGGTTGGGGTGCGAGACTGACGGTCTCTGCTCCCTGCAGGACACTCTGCCGCTGGGGAGGAAGGACGGCACCTTCAGCTCCCTGGGGTACACACTGCCGCTGGGGAGGAAGGACTGCACCTTCAGCTCCCTGGGGTACACACTGCCGCTGGGGAGGAAGGACTGCACCTTCAGCTCCCTGGGGTACACACTGCCGCTGGGGAGGAAGGACGGCACCTTCAGCTCCCTGGGGTACACACTGCCGCTGGGGAGGAAGGACGGCACCTTCAGCTCCCTGGGATATACACTGCCGCTGGGGAGGAAGGACGGCACCTTCAGCTCCCTGGGGTACACACTGCTGCTGGGGAGGAAGGACGGCACCTTCAGCTCCCTGGGGTACACACTGCCGCTGGGGAGGAAGGACTGCACCTTCAGCTCCCTGGGATACACACTGCCGCTGGGAAGGAAGGACTGCACCTTCAGCTCCCTGGGATTCACACTGCCGCTGGGGAGGAAGGACTGCACCTTCAGCTCCCTGGGATTCACACTGCCGCTGGGAAGAGGGGATAACAAGCTCCTCTCCCTGACACACTCTCTGCTGTTGGAGAGGGGGACCAACTGTCACCCCTTTTAATATATTGCCCTGCTGCTGGGGAGCGAGACCGACTGTCTCCGCTTCCTGCAGGACACACTGCCGCTGGGGAGGAAGTACAGCACCTTCAGCTCCCTGGGATACATACTGCCGCTGGGGATCTGGGCTGACTGCCCAGCATCCCTGTAGGGCCTGTAGAGAGACCTCGGTCCCATCCCCACCTGCCAGCTGGGTGTCTTCCCAGGACAAGTCAATAAGGTCTTCCATCTCTGGGGCTGGTTGGGACATATGTGGTACAGTACCAAGGTCTCCTGATAACAGGCTTGGTTGCTGGGGAGGAGGAACTAAACTCAATGCTTCCGGTGGTATACAGTCAATAAGCCCCATCATGTCAGAGACAGGCGGCGTTATACGTTGGAATAGGCAAACATAATCCTGTTCTAGTTCCCACTCTCGGTTGGCAAGAAAAGATAGATCTGGCTGAATGGCATCGATCTCTGTAAGGTCCCAGTTGTCTGCCCGCTCAGCTCGGATGGACCAAAAGCGAGCAATGTCGGTGTCTCCGAACCAGAGACTAGTTTCAATAGTATCCCACAACAAACCAGGGCCATCGTAGTCTTCCCCCTCAATACACTTGTACTCAATCAGCCATGGGTAGAGGTGGTAAACATGCCACCGCAGGGCCCGATAGGAATCATCCAGCCACACCTCAGTCTCAACTAGCGTCTCCAGTTCGCTTACCATTCCTCTGAGGGCTGGTTTCCCAATAACGGCATCCGCAGCTCTAGTTGTTCTGCTTGGCGCTGGTTAGTGGTCAGGATTTCCTCGCACCGGAAGGGTCGAATTTCGTCGATGTCCTCCTTCCAGAGATCGGTACGAAGCGCCACCCTCCACTCTGCCTCTCTTTCCTCTGGGATAGGATACTCCATACTGCGCATCACATCCTGTAGTCGCTGCTGGAGCCTGGCGTCAAAGTGAGATACTGCACGGCCTTCCATCTCTGAAGTAGTGCTGGTTTTCCCAAATCTTTATGTAGACAGGGACGCTGTATGAACACTAGCGTCGCCTTCAATTTGTAAATCCACGAACTGTGTATCTGAGCTGCTTTACCTCGCACTAGGATGCCATCCCACCGCTGCCACCAATGTAACGGATCGCCTGGCACCCCGACTGGGTACCTCCGTTAAAGGATGCTCCTAGCGCTTCCTGAAGACTCCAAGCACTGCAGCAGACACCACAACCACCGAACCGGAGAAGCATATGAATGCTCTCAACAGCTGAATAGGAATAGGAACCATACGAATAGGTTTACTCTCCTAGCAGTCAAACTGGAACAGCATACAATGAATCCTTCCCCCAATAATGAGACGACACTTCACTTTGAGGGTTAAGCAGAATCTCCAGTGCTGGCACACCCAGCCTGGTTTTTATTACAATCCACAAAACATAGTACAGCCCACAGGGCGTTACAAAACAACCAATCACATCTCAGTTACATCCCACATATTCCCTCCCCTTATCCTGAGAGGAAACTCAATTATACATACAGTTAAAACATACTTTCTACCCAACTTTCATAACTCCAAAACCATACATCACATTCACATAAAATTACATATTCACAATCAATCCATTCAGGGGAACAACATATTCAAAAATGGCACAAATCAGACAAGGGGTTCAAAAGTTAGTAAAAAGTCCTTTGTGACTAAATGAAGCATGGCTTTCTGGCCCAAACCAGTTTCAGAGTCTTCTATCCTGGAGATAAGTAATTCAATTATCTCCCAGGATAGACACAGACTCCATTAAGCACATGGTTGCAAAAAGACACAAAACACTTTAAAATACATAAAGTCACCTTTACACATAACACACAGACATTTCACATATCCCCAGATAGCTGGGATCTGAGTGCACATTATTAGATGAATGGCACTCAGATCACACAAATAAGCCTTTCTGCAGGGGAAATAAACGGTTTAACCTGCAGGGCCATAGTCCAAAGGGAGCAGGCGAGCAACCAGGCTTCTCCAGTTCACAGTGGCGAGGTTGGTTTCGCCACAATGATCAACCACAACATTAAAACCACCTGCCTAATATTGGGATTTCCCTTATGCTACCAAAATAGATCTGATGCATCGAGGCAAGAACTCCACAAGAGCTCTCAATTTGCCCTATGTTATCTGGCACAAGGACATTAGCAGCTAAGTCCTGCAAGTTGCGAGGTGGAGCCTCCATGTATCAAATTTGTTGTTCTAGCACCTCCTACAGATGCTCAATCGGATTGAGATCTGGGGAATTTGGAGGCCACGCAACTCCTTGAACTCTTTGTCATGTTCCTCCATCCATTCTTGGACATTTTTTGCAGTGTGGCAGGGTGCATTATCCTACTGAAAGAGGCCATTGCTATAAGAGAACACTGTTCCCTGATAGCAATACATGCAGGTAGTTGGTACGTGAAAAGTAACTTTTACATGAATGGATAACACTGCTTTGTCAACCTACCTTCTTCCCATAGTGCATCCTGCTGCCATCTCATCCCTAGGTAAACCACACACATACACCCAGCCATCTACCTGATATAAAAGAAAACATGATTCATCAGACTGGGCATCTTTCTTCTAATGCTCCATGGTCCACTTCTGACGCTCATGAAGGCACTTTCAAAGGTGGACAGGGGTCATCTTGGGTTCTCTGACTGGTTACACAGAGCCAGATGTAATAAACTGTGATGCACTGCGTGTTCTGATACCTTCCTATCATGGCCAGGAATTTGAGCTACAGAAGCTCTTCTGTGTGATTAGACCAGACAGGGTATCCTTCACTCCCCACATGCATCAATGAGCCTTGGTTCCCATATCCATGATAGATGTCCACTGGTTGTCCTTAATGCATCACTTTTCATAAGTCCTAACCACTGCATACGAAGTACACCCTACAATACTTGTTGTTTTAGAGATGCTCTGACCCAGTCTTCCAGCCATTTCTATGTGTTATAATCACTCAGAGCTTAGAGCTTGCCCATTTTTCCTGCTTCCAACTAATATATCCTACCCCATGACAGGTTCCACTGTAACAATATAATCAATGTTAGTCACTTCACCAGTCACTGGTTTTAATCTTGTTGCTTACACGTGTGCGCCTTCCTATGTGGCATTTCCTTCTAATGTAGGCTGCTTTGAAGCTCACATCATTCAGTACTGTCAGTGACTGACCTGTGAGCATACATCTGATAAGGAAGTTTTTTTCTGGAGTGAGGGGGTGTGGCTTAAGAGGCAGGTTTATGGTTCCCCATTCTGCAAAACATTTATTTTTTATGCAAAAACTATAAAGATTGGGCATGCAAACAAAAAAAAAACATGTTAATGAGGCCAAAACATGTCAAATGCATTAAAGTTTCATTAGTGCTCAGAGTGACCCTTTAATTAAACCTGCAATTGAGTTGACAATCTCACAAAATTATTTTACGTGTAAACCTGTTACATTTGGATTACATCTGCCTATAACTGGACTCTACCCACACAATACTTCACATACAGTGTTGCTTTATAAATCGTGTTTTATTTTGCATTTACACAGTGGCTGTGTTTTGTGTATTATAGTATTTTTCTGCAACTAGTAATATGCATTATATAATTGCTAATGTGTGCACTATCTAGTTAATTATACATTTGCCTGTAAAGATGGGGCCAGGATGCCTGCCAAAACCTGTAAAATGCTTTATTAGGCTAAACTAAAGCTTTAATTGTTTACTTCATGTCTGCAGGTCTGTAGAAATCCTTTCTGGTCGACTCCTTTCTGTTGTTCAGCTCTATAAATCTTTGGACAGGTTTTCTCTTCTAAAGTGTAACTCTTTGTGTGCTAGAATACGTATTCTGTAATTTCTAGAACATCATTGCAAGTATAACTTTATTAACAATTTAAAAATGCACAGAAACAGGAAGCAGGTAACTACATTTTAGGGACTGGGTATATATAATTTTGTGGTTCACTGATAATATTAAAATTAGTTTAAAAAAATATATATTATTCAGATTAGTTGTTCTTCCAATGTTGTTGTTTTTGCTGAATTGTTTGGTTCTGTTGTTAATATTCCACCGATTAAAGTGAACAGAGTTTATTTTTCTTTACCTTTCATTCTGAAATTACTTACTGGAAAAAATGATAGGTGTAGAACCAGTGGCGTACACATGACCCATGGGGCCCCGGTGCGAAAATTGATATGTGGGTTCCCCCCACCCCCACTCCGTGCTTACTCTGCGCGGGCCGGGGCCACAACACATGGCGGCGGGCACCTGGTCGCAGGGGTTGCAGGGCTGCGACCCCTGCGACCGCGGTATGTACGCCAGTGCATGCAGATGCACACACACTTAAAGGACCACTACAGACACCCAGATCACATCAGCTCAATGAAGTAGTCTGGGTGCCAGGTCTCTCTAGTTTAAACCCTGCAGCTGAAAACATAGCAGTTTCAGAGAAACTGCTATGTTTCACTGAGGGTTAATTCAGCCTCTAGTGGCTGTCTCATTGACAGCCGCTAGAGGAGCTTCCGCAATTCTCACTGTGAAAATCACAGTGAGAAGACACTGAACGTCCATAGGAAAGCATTGAGTAATGCTTTCCTATGGGCGGTTTGAATGTGCGCATTCGGAGCTGAGAGGCAGAGGGATTCCCAGCACCAAGGGAGTCCGGCGCTGGAGAAAGGTAAGTGCTGAAGACACACACACACACTGTCACAAACAGACGCATACACACTAGCTAACAGACACACACATTTACTGACAGAGACACACTCAGCGACAGACATACATACACACTCACTTACAAAACATACACTCTCACTGACAAACACACACTCACTAGCAGACACACAAAAACATACTCAGTAACAGACACACACAGTAACACACTCACTGACACTCACTAGCAGACACACACTCAATAACAGACACATTCACTGACACTCACTAGCAGACACACAATTCTAACAAAAACACTAATACACACTCTAACACACACAAACACACACACTAACACACACACACACTAACACACACACACTAACACAAACACACACTAACACTAACACACACTAACACACATTAACAATAACACACACACACTAACACACACACTAACACCCACACACACACTAACACACACACACTAACACTAACACACACTAACACTAACACTAACACACACACACACTAACATTAACACACAGACACTAACACTAACACTAACACACACACACACTAACATTAACACACACACACTAACACTAACACACACTAACACACACACGTTTTTAAAAAAAAATTAATCCCCCAGCCTCCTTACCTTTTGGAGTGCTGAGGGGATTCCCTGGGGTCCAGTAGTGCTGCTAGGCTCCTGGGCGGCCGGTCCTGCGGGCGTGCAAGGGAGCACTCTCCCCTGAGTGCTTCCTCTTCAGCTCCCTCGCGTACTGATGCCGGAGCCAGAAGATGACGTCATCTTCCGGCTCCGGTATCAGTGCGGTGCGCGAGGGAGCTGAAGAGGGAGCACACAGGGGAGAGTGCTCCCTCGTGCGCCCACAGGACCGGCCGCCCAGTGACAGAAGGGCCAACCCCCTGGGCCTCCCAGGAGAAGAGGCTGGCCACACTGGCATACATATCGGGTCGCAGAGGCGGCCGGACTCGGTTGCAGCCGCGACCCCTGGGTATTACGTTTTAGAGTTTTTTTAGTTTAATTATATTTGTTAACTGAAGATCTGCATGTTAGGTGTTAGATTTTCCTGACAACTAGGAAGAAAACAATAATTTGCAGGTATAACATTACCCAGCTCAATGGTTCTCAATTTATTGCGCTTCGTAGTAAGAATGTAGGGTTGACTCTGCTGGGATACAAACTGGTGACCCTGAAGTCTGAAAAGAATGTAGATAGAGCAGTTGGACCACTAAATGCCGTGATACTCTTTTTATTTAAACTTTCCTGGAATCATTATGTGAATATGGTTGCATTATGATAATACGAAGTACCAGTAAATAAGTATTTAGGAAACTAATTTTCTTGATTTTCTATCAGACACTATACAACACAGCTTGTAGATTAATATTGCACACACATTTATTAAAGTTGTACTCTAAGCAAAATGTGTACTCAGGGTTCTGTCTCTGGGTTTTAGAGAAGATATACAAAAGCAGTTTGACTAAACAGCTCTCTGCTCTCTAT